GGGAGATCAGGGCCGGTGGGTGGCAGCAACAGCCTCCTCCTTCACCTTGCCCTGTCAAGGCTGGGACAGATGGTGCCACGCAGGCCCCCGAAGACAGGCTTTTCTCCTTCCTGTCTTTCTACACACAGGACAGAGCAGGGGTGCCACCTGACCTGAGCAGGGGAGAGACTGCGGTAAGAGAACCACATGCAGTTGAGAGTCCCACAGGCCACCTTCTCTGTTTCAGGCCCTGTGTGGCAGTATGGCTGTCTGACCAGACTGTCCTTCTACCCCACCCCAGGACCTGTGCTGCTCTGGCTGGGGCACCGCAGAGGCAAGAGGACAGTGAGGCTTGAGGATGTTCCGGTTTAGAGGGTTGGTCTGGATGCCCCCTGCCGCCCACCAAGCCTCCAGCACCCCAGGACTCCCATGGTGACCAGAGACGTCGACAGAAACGCTGGGCTTTCAGAGGTGGGGGGCACCACCCCAGTGTGATTCGGGTGGGAGAGAGGAGCTGCCCACAGTGTGGTGTGACCTCCCTAAAGGCAGGGGTCACCTGGGCCAAGAGCTCCCTGCAGAAGACAGGAGAAAGGCCCCGGAAGGACCCCGGGTGGGGGAGACCATCTAGGGGGCGGGGGGGAGCCTGCTTGTCTCTCATCTTTGCAGGCCTCAGACGCCGCCTCCAGGGCCACATCAACCCATAGAGCGTCCCGGGCTCTCGCCCTCACTGCGGCCCATCCACCTGCACACTCCACTCTGTCACATCCACGCTTAGCCCAGAAAACCTCAGAGGTTCATCCTGAGGGTTTGTGCCCATTGTTCAGATGGGAAGATGGGGGTCAAGAAAGTGCTGGGGTTCGATTCTCTAGCCTGAGGGCTGCTGGTCCTGGGATCTGTCTGCAGCCTCCTGCTGGCTCTCATAGGACACATCAGGGAGGGTCCCCAGGAAGGCCGGAGCATTTGACGGACACAGAATAGAAGGCAGACGTGCAGAGCTCAGGGTCCAACCGTGGGCTCTGACGTTGGATCCACCAGTGTCTGAGGTCTGGGTTTGTACTGCTGATTAGAAATGGCCCTGAGTCTACAGTCACCAAGACAGGTGGCTGCTCCAAACTGGGGTCATTCCTGACCTGAGTTAGTGCCTTCTGCACTTGTGGAGGGAGCACTCCCAGCTCCCAGAAGTGGACAGGGTGAGGGGCAGGGCGGGACGGATCCAAGGAGAGAGGCCCAGTAGGGAGCATGGCCTGGGGAGGTCTGGGAGCGGGCTGTGGCCGTAGGGTCATCATCCCAAATCCAGTTTAAAAACACATGGCTCCATACTTCTGGTCTCTCCCTGATTCATTTTATCTGTGGCTCTTACATGTGCCCTGAGCCTCTAGCTCACTTACCGGGCCGGGGCGGGGGGTTGTACCTGCTGCTTGTTTTCCCACGGGGCCCCTGAGCTTAGAGCATCACCTGCACCAAGGATGCGTGACTGGGTAAAATGGGTGAGCTGAGGGCAGGGGCACCAGCCACCGAGGTCCTCCGTGCCCTCCTGGGAAAATCACCCCACAGCCTCGGCTTCACTCCTCTGTAGAAAGGAGGTGGTTGCTCTCCTGAGGCTGCTCTGCCAGAGCCCCTCGGACTGGGTGGCTGAGACACAGGAATGTTTGTCTGGGGTGCCTGCTGGGTGGCTTCCTTCTGAGGGCTGTGACGGAGACTGTGCCCGGCTCTCCCTCAGCTTCTGCTGGTCCTCTGGCTTCGAGGTGCCTCACCCCTGTCTCTGCCTCCTCTTCACACTCTTTCTGGGCATGTCTGTCCCCATGTTCCCTTTTTACAAGGACACTAGCCAGAGTGGATTAGGGCCTACCCTCGTGACCTCATTTTAACTTGATTACCTCCGTGAAGACCCCATCACATTCTGAGGCACTGGGGGTTAGAACTTCAACATATGAATTTTGGGGTGTGAGGAGGGTGGCAGATTCAAGCAAATTACCTCCCAGGCTCAGCGCCCCCCCACCCCCGGCTGCTACCATGAGGACCACATTATGGCCCACAGGGATGGACCTGGCGTTATGAACTTTCATAAGATACTGATGCTCCACTCCCAGAGAGTCTGGTTTGCTTGGTCTGGAGTGGGCCCTGATGTGGAGATTGTTTATAAACTCCCAGGGGAACCTGATGTGCAGACAGGGAGGAGAGCCAGGTGTGGGGTCTGCACACACACTGTCGCTGCTGCCTCATCAGCAAACCCACATGTGGTTGGCAAAGCTGCCATGAGTCTGCCCCAAACCCCAGCCACTCAGGGTGGGGCCAGGCAGGGACAGACAGACAATGGAACAAAAAGGCCTCGTCCCCAGTCCCACACCCCAGGGCGGTGCCCAGTACCTGGACGGTACCTGGGCTATATCTGAGGAGGAGGGCCTTCTCCAGGTGGCAGGTCTGGGAGGTGTGGAGATTTCCAAGTCACTGCTTTCCTGTGGATTGCACCAAGGAATCCTACCTGACAGCTTGGGACAGGGAAGGGATGGAGATCTCTGGACCAGTGGTTCTAAGGCAAAAACTGGAGGAAGTCAGAGAACAGGATGGTGGAGTGGGAACTGGGGAGGGCAGGTGCTCAGAAAGGGAGTGAGGCCATGGAGCATGGTGGTGGCCTGGGTCACCAATCGACACAACTTCTCCAAACCTCAGCTTCTTACATCTGCAAAATGTGGAGTGTAGAGCCTGCGTGTGTGGAGCGAGGGTGTGGCGACGTGAGAAGAAGCGCTGGAGCTGGCCCACGTGGCCCTTGGCTTCAATTTCCATCCTTCTTTCCCCGAGATGGAGTCAGTCCCTCTGCGGCACTCCTCTGCAGCCCTGTTGGGGCCACGAGGTCTCCCACACAGGGCAGGCTGCTTGCAACTTCACACCTGTCTTCTGCCCCTGGAGGGAGGGGCCTGGGCATCATGCTCTGTGCCCCAGACCCAGGGTTCATGCTCAGCTGTTGGTCCCTTCTGAGAACCACAGCTGAAGTGAGATAAGCATCTCTAAGGGTTCTCGAGAAGTCCCTTGCGGAGCAGAGCAGCTCGCTTCTGTGTGAAGCAGGCAGTGCTGGGCCTGAGGCTTTGTTCCAACAGGTGCTAGGAAGTGTGTGGCAGAGGGATGGACGGATTTCCCCATGGGGTCCACGGAAAACAGCTCTGTGGGGTGTTTGCGAACGAACATTTCCTGCGCGACAGAGCTCAGTGCTCTACCTGCAGGCCTCGCTGGTTCCTCACAACAAACTCACTCAACAAACAGCTTTTTTTTCATCCCTGTTTTGCAAACGCCTGGGAGACAGGCTAGCAGTGGCACATGGCCCACTCCCACCTCACCTTCAGGACAGAGGACACCAGGCATCATCTCACCCTCGCAGGGCCAGTGCTGGACACCACATCTGTGCCTGGTTGTGACCTCCCAGCAGACTGGGAGTCCCTGGGAGACGGCATTGAATGCCATGCTTCCCTGTGGCCCGCACACCTGGCCCAGCACAGAGCCCCCACAGTCAGTGGTTCACTAAGAGTGAGTGAATGAGTGAGCGAGAGAACGAAGGGAGAAGGTGGGCAAGCCCCAAGGCCCTGTGACCCGGGGGACACACTATAGTCATGTTCAGAAAGCAGAAGGCCCTAGAAGCATCTGACTCCCGGTCCACACCCAGGACAACTGAAGCTCTCAGCCTCTGTGCCCAGGTGAGGTAAGGAGGTAGGTTGGGGAAGGAGGAGAAGGGGCTTTGGGCACCGTGGAACAAAAAAAGTGCCCTTTCAGGAACTTCTGTGACCAGGAAGAAGCGAAGGCACAGGAGGAGCAGCTGGCCCAGGCCACACAGGTACTTAGTGTCGGAGCAGGCTCAGGGCCTGGGTATCCCGACTTCCTGGCCAGCTGGAGTCCTCTCTCCTTGACTTTGATGTCACGATGACACCGTAGTGACTACTGCCACTACACTCAAGATGGCCCTGTAGGAAGTGGCCTTGAGGGACTAAGCTGGCCCAGCTCGGGGACAACAGAGCAGCTCCTGGCTGTGCCTCCCTGACCCAGGCCGTGGCTCCGGCTCACTCCATTAGCCTTCCAGCACGGAAGCTGGGTGACACTCCCTGGCTTGGAAACCAGAGGACAAGGCTCAGAGGAGGGGCTTCACTTACCTGAGGGCACACGGCCACAGAAAGCCGAAGGGTTAGGGATGATGAAAGTGTCGCGGGCTGGGTCGTCTCTGTGGTTGCACCACAGTGTGAATGTCCTCTAGGCCACTCAATGAACAGTACACTCAAAAAGGACCCAAGGGATAAATATTATGTTATGCAAATTTTTCTGCACACACCGCACCCATGGCCAGGTGGGATGCATACCTGGGACTACAGGGCACCACGCCCTATTGTCTTTGCCCTCTTCTGCACAGAGGGATGCATTGACCTTCTCAGGGCCTTCTGTCACCCCAGCCCCCCTCTCCCTCTGTCTGTTCCTTCTTCGCAAGCCTTTTCCTGGCTCCTAGTCTGAGCCAGGCCAGGCTGGGCACTGGAGCCTGGTCCAGGGATGGGCAGGCTGGGCACACCCTCCAGGGGCTCAGCACAGAGACCACCCAGCTCATTTGGGCTATGGGTGCAGGAAACCAGCCAGCAGTGCCATCCAGCCAGGGCCAGAATAGGGACCCCAGTGTCTGCAAGCCACCAGACTTTGCTGGACACAAAAGATGAACTGGTCGAGGATGAATCAAGTGTTATATAAATCACCGCAGTGTGCCGCAGTCCGGCTGCAGCAAAATAATCAGGGGGGTGACGAGCAACTTGTATAGATTGATACAGCAGGAGAGGGAGCCATTTATTGCAGGACAGGAGCAGTATTTATACATTCCACACAGCTTACCTAATTAGCATAAACTAGATACATCAGTCAACCAATAAGGAATCTCCACACTTAATGGCTTGCTTTTGTTACTTCTCAAACCACTCCCTCTGGCATTTTGCCAGGCACCATCCAGACTTGTTTACGAATTCTAACATTCCCCTGGCAAAATGCCAGGTGTTATTTTGACTTGTTTACAGACTCTAACAGCAGTGCACACCCAGGGCCACCTGGAAGGTGGAACCCAGAGGCCAGGACTCTATGAGAAAGGACACGGAGGCCAGGCCAACGCCACCCAGCCTCACTGGAAGATGAGGGGCGTCCCATGAGTATAGACTGGAACATGGGCGTCCCACTCACCTGCCGCGCGTCTCTTCCTCTCTGAGCCTCTGTTCCACAAGGTAAGACGGAAGGGGTGACGCGCTCAGCTCCAGGCTTCTGGGAACTTCGACTCTGTGCCTAAAAATGACTAGCTCAGAACTTTCTCCCTCCTCTCGAACTCCCTGTGTCTCTGCCTTGTCCTCTTTCCTCTGACTGCCCCCTGAAAGAGGACAGTGTTCTCATCTGTGCTGGCCTCAGTCCATGCCTAGGGACTGACCAAGTGAGCCTGTGGCCTGAGCCAGGCTCCTGCTTGGGCCCCGTGTATGTGCCCTTGGCTTTGGGTTTCATCCTCCAGTGAGGTGGATTTATCAATATTCCTCCTACAGAGAACAAACCTGGGCTCCGACAGCCATTTGCTCTAGGCCATCTGCCTCCTAAGCATGGGGTCCTCCCCTCCTATCTTCCTGCTTGGGTGTGTGCAGTGGACCCAGGCCCCAGGGCTGTCACACCCCTCCTTCTGCCACACTCCATCCTGGGTACTGGGCTCCGAGCCCTGTAGCTCGTCCTGCTGTTGGGCAGGGCCTGTGCCCTGGACAAGCTTCCCACAGCCCTGCTTTCCTGCCACCCTGTGGCTGGACCCAGCATACACACACCTGCGGGTGGACACCCAATGCCACTGCTGGCCACTCTGCTCTTGCCCTGGTGAGCACAGCTTGCTGAAGCCGGGCCTTGACCACACGGTGTCCCCAGCTCATGGCAAGTATTCCAGGCTCCATAAGTATTTAAGAGAATACGGAAAGAATGACCCGCTGACATGTCCCTGGCAGCAAGACCCAATGCAGCGGGTGCAGGGCCGCCTGCTCCAGAGGCCAAGTCAGAGCCCTGAGCTGAGAGGAGCCACTAGGAGGGTGTCCAGAGGTTTCCACCTGTGGGGAAGAATACGAAACCTGGAGCAGGTTCGGAGAAGGGGCAGGAGGCAGAAGGTTCTGGAAACGACAGCCAGAGAGGATGGCTAAGGGTACTTGGGTTGCAGGGTGTCACCCTGGAGTCAACTCCAGGTTCACTGGATCACTCAACAGCTCCCCTGAGCAGCCTTCCCAGGTCACACCTGGGACACGTCATGAATCTGACCCACCCCCCTGCTGTGGAGAAGCTCCCAGAAGTGGGAGGCAGAGCTGTGGCCAGGCAAGAGCGTCCTCCACCCTGTGTGAGAGAAGTACCTCCCAGGAGTCTGGAGACTGCTGCGGACAGGGAGAAAGCACAGTGACGTCCTTGGTTCAGATGGAGCTGGGGGCAGGCTGGAGCACCAGGGACAGATGGCAACTCCAGGACCTGTGGGACCTGAGGCTGCCAGGCCAAGGACACAGCCCTGGAGAGAAACAGGATGGAGAGGGTGCTGAGGCCCCAGAGCCCCTGTGAGTGCCGGGGAGCCATGGAGGGACACAGAGTTGACAGCCCTGGCCAAGAGGAAGCTCCTCCCCAAGAGAGCCCAGGCCACTTCCGACCTCTGCTTGGAGCTGGGCTGTGGATAACAGCTGGCCTCGGGCCTTGAGGCAGTGGGGCCTTCCTGCTCAGCACACGGAGGAAATAACTTTATTAGCTGGTGGATGAAAAACAGGAAATGTATGCGATGACTCTGGCACCGGCCGTGGTTCACTCACATCTAGTTTCTAGGAAACAGTTATGAGGCCTCAGACTAGGTTGGGGTTTTCTCAGCCAAGTCTTTCTGGAAATGCCATGCTTTTCTCAGGAAAAACCATGTCCCCCCAGACTAGGGGGTAATAGTGACATACAGCCCAGCCCTGCCACAAGAAGAAGCCCCACTTTCCTTCCCAGTCCCCCACCTCCAGTCTCCACAAGGCTCAGAGTTGGCATTAGCTCGTTTCCTGAGCACCTATTATGTGCTTATAGTAGAAGTCAATTATATACATCAGTTATCACAATAACAAGATGAAGATTGTCAAAGTGCGCAAACAATAATAATTCCAAAACAATAATAATTTTCCAAGAACCCAGAAAAGTTGAAAGTTAAAGGATGAAACAAAATACTCCAAATATTAACTAAAAGAGACTTGAAGATAGAAACATTATTATAATGTTTATATAAAGTCATCATTAAAGAATCAGTTAAGAAAAATAAAACTGCTTAATTCATATATACACAATAGCCTGACATTATGATAAACAGTAGAAAGTCTATCAGGCTTTGAATAAACAAAAATCTGCAGGTGTGTAATCCTAGCTACTCCAGAGGCTGAAATAGGAGGATTGTGAGGTTGAGGCCAGCTTTAACATCTTAATGAGACCTCATCTCAAAATAAAAATAGCTGTCTGGGGATGTAGTTCAGTGGTACATCACCTCTGGGCTCAATTCCCAAACTTCTAATTAATTAATTTAATTAAAATAATCAGTAGGACTTCAGCAACCCCAATAAGAAGTACTTAATGCATATGTATAGAACCCCACATCCAATGACCAGAAAACACACCCAATTCTAAACACACATGGGCCTCCTTTACACATTAGTAGTGAACCAAGCTATGGATCAAGTCTCAACAAAAGTCTCAAAGACCCACCTTTATACAAACCATATTCTCTGACCAGAGAATTCAACATTTGAAAAATTGATAAATTAACTGTTTTATTAACAGAATAAAATTTAAAAACTCATAGAATTATTTCAAAAGGTACATTTGAAATTTTGATAAAATCTGATATGCACTCATGATTAAAAATAAAACTTTTAGCAAATAAGTAACATAAAGAAACCTTCTAACTCTGATCTCTAACCTTGCCTCCCCAAAAGCCTATTGGAAACATCTTACTAAATTCTGACTCTTGAAAGTACCTTTTTAAATCAAGAATAAGACAAATATTGCCATATTTATTCAACATAGTATTTGAAGTTCCAGAAAAAAACAAAGTATTAAGAAAAATGAATGGAAAGTTAAAAGGATTTAAAAGAAGGAAATAAAGCTGTCACATGTCTGAGATGGTGATTTTCTACATAAGAAAACCAAGTAATCTACAAATTGTTAGACTTCATAAGAGAGTTTAGCAATTTGATATAAAATCAATATACAAAGGTCAATGGCACTTCATTTTAGTATCTCTTTTTCACTTAGAAAATGTACTTTAGAAAGGGCATGATTTTTATTAGGAATAAAAATACACAGTATCTTGGAACAAATCTAACAAAAAGATGTGCAAGATCTTGAGTAAAACTTCACTGAAAGACAGTCAAGGAGTCCAGATAAACAGGGATGTATACCACCTCCATGAACAGGAAGGCTCACCACCTCAAAGGTGTCAGTTCTCTCCAAATTGACCTATGAAGTCAATGCAACCCCAGATGAAATTCCCAGTGATGTTTTTATTGGGGAAAAAGTCAGTGTGGGTTTGTTCCCTTGTGATTGACATGTGTTAGGGTTCGGATCTGGAACGTCCCTCCCACCCAGCCAAAGCTCGTGTATGAGGCGCTGCAGTAATGTTCAGAGGCGGGATGACTGGATCATGAGAGCTGCAACCTCTGTAATCCATTTGGTGGATTAATAACTTGAATGGACGACTGGGTGGTAACTGCAGGCAGGTGAGGCCTGGAGAAAGTAGGCCGTAGAGGTGTGGCCGTGGAGATTATATCTGTCCCTGGCCCCTTCCTGTCTCCCTCTCTCTCTCCCCACTCCCCCTACCCCCTCCTTCTTGGCTGCCCTTAAACTGAGCTGCTGTCCTCTGCCACATTCTTCTGCCAGGATGCTCTGCCACACTCAGGCCCAGAGTGATGGAGTCAGGCAGTCACGGACTGACGCCTCTGAAACTGTGAGCCAAAAGCCATGTTCCCTCCTCTAAGCTGTTCTTGTCAGGAATTTCAGTCACAGCAATGAAAAGCTGATTGACCCATAGGGCAGGGTAAAAGTTAAAACAGGTTCCCACTGGTCACTGGGACAATTTGGACATCGATAGAAATAATGGCAAATTGACATACATAAAATTAGTAAGTTTATAATAATATTAAAATTACCTTGCTGAGCACCTTCAGAGAAGGCTAGAAAACCAACTCATTATTATGAAAACTGAGGAGTGAAAGGAAAGACTCATTTGTCCCAACATCTATTTTTACTGCACTTCAAGGAAATGAACTAGTGTAGTTGATGAAAGGAAGTTGTTATTGTTGTTTTAAAGAAAGGAATTCTAGCTAATAAACAGAGAATAGTACAGTTAGAATATCACAATCCTTCCTTTCCTAGAGAATGCCCATATATAGGATGGGGACAGGAGAAATATAAAATCAACATGGAACATCCTACAGTGCCAGAAAGTAAGGACACTACTTTCTCAAAAGGGGTTTCTCAAAAGGAAGCAGGAGCCAGCTTGAAGGGATTCCCAGTGGCCACACTGCAGACATTTGAAACATCAAAATGAATCATGATAGCAAGAGACTACAACTCACTGAATAAAACAGCAGGTTATTTTTTTTTTTCTGAACAAAACAGAAAACTACAAGTCAAACTCTGAAACAAATGAATAAATTAAAGATTTGATGAGGAATGAGATTCTCATTGTTTCAAAGTATTTCTTTAGAGAATCACAAAGGACCTGGGCTTGTAATCCCAGCAACTCAAGAGGCTGAGGCAGGAAGATCCCAAGTTCAAAGCCAGTTTCAGCAATTGAGTGAGGCCCTGTCCCAAAATAAAAAGGACTGGGGAGGTGGCTCAGTGATTAAGCACCTCTGGGTTCAATCCCCAGTACCAAAAAAAAAGAAAGAAAAGAAAACAGTAACTTCACAGTGGAGAAAACTGGCAGACATCACCTTTATCATCCTGAGCAGGCAGACCAATCAAAGTCACACAGCACTGGGTAAGATACCATGAGGAAAATGCAGGACAACTGATACAGTGTCCGCACTTGGCCTGAGTCCACGGGCTGTAGGAGGCGCTGTTGGGCAACCGGCAAGACTTGAAGGAGGCCAACAAACCCACACTGGTCTCCTGGAGTGGCTGGTATAGAGGAGACAATCCTTATTTGTAGGACGCATGAAAGATTTGGGGGGTGATGGGGAAACAGGTCTGTAGCCCAGTCTCAAGTGGTTCAGTGTGTGATTATTTAAATTTGTTTTAAATTTTTTTAGTTTGAAGAGACGGATTATGTCTGGCTTTTATTTTGGATCTTATTCAAGCAAATTATTTTTTATTTTTTTAATCAACAAATAAAATATATAAATTTATAGTGTATGACATGATGTTCTGACATATATGCCATGAAATGGCCACATCAAGGAATTTAGCATTATCTCTTACACTTACCTTTTTTTTTTTAGGTGAGAACACTGAAACTTCCACTCTCGCGGAACAAAATTCCTGCCGTCTAAGTGAAATTTGCAATCTTTGACCAACCTTTCCCTAATCCCGTAAACAAATTTTAAGAAAAAGACAATCAGAGAAATTGACCATATTAGAAAATCATTCATTGTTTAAGGTGTGGAAAAGAGTATCTTTTGGAGACACTTGCTGAAGTATTTATGGATGAAATCATACAATGTCTGGCATCTGCCTGGAAGTAATTCAGGCCTGGGGTCTCGATGGAACACAGCTAGGAACGGATAATCACTGCAGTTAAGGGATGATTTGTTATCCCATCCAATCTGCCTTTAAAATTTCCAAAACAATTGTAATAAAAGCTGCTGTAGGAACAGTGAAAATATAGAGGGTGGATATACAATGTGTATTACATTCTTTATCTGTTTAATTATTTCCTCAAAAAAAAAAAAAAAAACCACTCTGTGCAGGTGCCCGTGTGATCCCAAAGGCAGCGTGATTTAAGGCTAGTGAAAGTATAAATGGTGCCATCTTTCTGAATGGCAATTGGTTAATGAAAGCAAAGTTGATTTAAAAATCAAGCCGCTGGAAGCAACACCAAAGTGTCTGATAAGGAATTGGTTGACTGTTATTACAGTCCTTCTCCCAAATGGGATACTCTGCAAGCATTGTTTTAAAAATAAGGCAGTTCTCTTTTTCCACCATGAGAATATATCTAAGACCTATTTATGAAAAAGTTAATGTCAGATCACATACCAAGAATGATTCCATCATAACATACACACAGATGCATTGTGTAGATGTTGGTATATACACTGAAATTTTTCCAGAAGAATGTGTACCAAAAGATTGAGCTTTTGCTGCCTCTTTAAATAAATTTTAACATAAATAATTCAAATTTGTAGTGATACCAATGCTATTTTAAGAGAATTTTTATATAAATGAACCACTAAGAATTCTTCACATGACTGTTAATAGATATAATTATAGTGCAAAGATATTCCAGAGGAACAAGAAGAAGTTGGGAGAATTTGTTCTACCTGCTGTCAAGGCTGACAAAGTAAGCTGGGAACAGTAGCGCCACCTGTAATCCCAGCAGCTCAGGAGGCTGAGGCAGGAGATCGTGAGTTCAAAGCCATCCTCAGCAAATTAATGAGCCCCTAAGCAACTCAGCAAGACCCTGTCTCCAGCTAAGATATATATCTATTTTTTTTTTTTAAAGAGAGAGAGAGAGAGAATTTTAATATTTATTTTTTAGTTTTCGGCGGACACAACATCTTTGTTTGTATGTGGTGCTGAGGATCGAACCTGGGCCGCTCGCATGCCAGGCGAGCACGCTACCGCTTGAGCCACATCCCCAGCCCCAAGATATATATCTATTTTTTTAAAAAAGGCTGGATTTAAGTGGCTCAGTGGTTAAGCACCCCTGGGTTCAATCCCTGGTACAATTTAAAAAAAAAAAAAAAAGACCAACAAAGCCAAATGCAGTCAAATGACTAAAACTCTAGAAGTTAAGACTACAAGGTATTGAGCAAGGACAGATGCAGGACTAAGATGGCACTGAAGATCAATTAATAACCCTAACACTGGAGGATGAGGATATAGCTCAGTTGGTAGAATGTTTGCCTCACATGCACAAGGCCCTGGGTTCAATTCCCATCACCACCAAAATAACAATAATGATGGTACTAATGCTAACACAGATGTTAATCTATTCTTTAAAATCAAAACTAGATCCCTTTCTTATACCTACACCAAAATCAATTCCAAATTAATAAAAAGGTGTTTGGAGGGCTCTGGTTGTGGCTCAGTGGTAGTGCATTTGCCTAGCACGTGTGAGGCACTGGGTTCAATTCTTAGCACCACATATAAGTGAATAAATAAATAAAGGTCTATCAACAACTAAAAATATATTTAAAAAAAATGTTTGGAGAGGCATTTAAATTTTTCAGAAAAATATAGGAGCATCTCTTATGATTGGAGGAAAGGGGGGTTTCTTAAAAACAGATAATAAAAGTTCAGAGCATAAAGAATAAGGATGGACAAATTTGATGACATTAAAATGAAGAACTGCTGCTCATCAAGAGACACCATAAAGAATGTGAAAAGACAAGTCCCAAACTAGGAAGCATGTTTGAACATACATAACAAGCTAATGACACAATAGCCCAATGCATGTCTTTATATATTTATACTTATGTATGCAGTTATAAATTCTCAAAAATCAGTAAGAAAGAGACAAGCACCCCAACATCTCCACCAGATGGCCAGGCACCCTCTTTGTACATATGCCCCGGAGGCAGTCCCTCCTCTGAGGACAGCTCTGACCCGGAGGAAGTTCTTCCCCTCATAGTGCTGAAAATAGAGCCCTGCTCCCTGTGCCTCTCCTGGATTCCAGTTCTGCTTACTTTCTGAGGGGCAGCTAGGCCAATGCCAGTTGTAAGGGTTTTGTAGAGCTGTGGTAAAGTACCACAAACTGGGTGGCTTTAAAACAACAAAATTTATTCTTCCCTATTATTATAGGAATGCCAGTCATGGTTGGGCATGATGGTGCACACTTTTAATCCCAGCAACTCAGGAGGCTAAGGTAGGAGGATTGCAAGTTTGAGGCCAGTCTCAGCAAATTAAGGAGGCCCTCACAATTTAGTGGGACACTGTCTCAAAAAAAATAAAATAAAAATTAAAAAGAACTGGATGTTAAAGTATTCTTGGGTTAAATCCCCAGTACAAAAAACAAAAAACAAAACAAAAAACAGTCAGAACAATGAAACTAGATCCCTTTCTTATACCTACACCAAATCAATTCCAAATTAATAAAAAGGTGTTTGGAGGGCTCCGGTTGTGGCTCAGTGGTAGAGCATTTGCCTTGCACATGTGAGGCACTGAGTTCGATCCCCAGCACCACATAAAAATAAGTAAATAAAGATATTGTACCAACTACAACTAAAAAAAAGTTTTTAAAAAATACCAGTCATGTTGGATTAGGACTTGCACCAATCAACTTATTTTAACTTGATTACATGTGTGAAGATTTATTTCCAAATAAGAACACACTCATGAGCACCAGGAGTTAGGATTCCAGCATATGTTTTGGGGGAATAAAATTCAGCCCACAATCCAAGCTCACTTCAGCTGCCTGATCACTCTCAGGACCTGAGAGTTTCCCAACCCAAGGAAAGAGAGAGAATTTTGAGCACAAGTGACACTTAGGCTCATTGAACCCACTGACCAGCCTCCAAGGGGGCCTTCCCAAAGCCCACCCATGACCATGCATGGCCTTAGAGCCAAGTATGTAAAATCAAGTCCTGATTACGAAATCTTCAACAGTCCATGCCCATTCCAAGCCTCAGGTTCTTCATCTGTAAAATGGGAAGTAATTCTAACTACCTCAAAGGTTTTTTGTTAAGGTCAAATGGGTTGATGCCTGAGGAAGTGCCTGCTGTGGGCCAGGCACATAGTTGGCATTCAGTAAGAACCCTCCCTTCAGCCTCCTGGTGGACAGAGGTGTGTCCTGAGCCTCCTAACTCCCCCAGAGTCCCCGTGGCTGTCTCATCAGTGTCACCATGTCTGAGGCCTGTGACCCGAGGGAAAGGGCAGCCTGACACTGAGAGCAAGGCCTCTGGGAAAGCAGTGGGAGTCTCCACACTCATGTCAGGAAGCGAAGCCTTGACCTCGAGAAAAGAACGAAAAGGACAAAACCCGGACTTCTCAGTGGGCGGCCAGCCACGTCTTCGCTCCCCTTTGCTCCTCCGGAGTCTGGCCCCGTTGAGATTTAGGGATGTTTATTTTGTGTGTGGCTGTGGTGGGGGAAACAGTGGGACGCGATCTTTCCGTGTGTCTGGGGCTATTTTGAGCCGGGTGATGCTCATGCTGATGGACGATGGCTGACCCAGGAGGGCGCTGCCTGCTGGTGTCTCTCCCTCCCAGGACCCAGAGTTCTGTCTAGGTTCCAATCCCAGCCCAGGGGCTCAACCCCCGGGGGGTCTGGGGAAAACCTTGTCTCCCAAGGGGGAGCCTGAGACTTGTGCTGCCCCCTGCTGGTGATTTTCACAGGGGAGGTCAGAGAATGGCTACTTTGCTATCCAGATATTTAGGATATAAACAGGATTGTCACACAGCCTGCTCAGGCCACCATCCCAGAGCTGAAGGAACACCAAGGAGGAGTCTCTCTGACCCTCACCAGTCACCTCCCCTCCATTCCCACTCAGTAGCCACACTGGACCACCTGATTCAACCCCAAGCTCCCGCACCCCTTTCCCAGCCTCCCACTGTCCTCTAAAAGAAGTCAAACCCCACCCGTGGTCTGCAAGGCTCTCTGAGCTGGACACCCCTCCCTCCCCAGCCTCCTTTTTTTTTCTGAATGCTGTGAATCCAGGTTGGCTTCTGTCCACTCCTCAAACTGCTGACAAGTTACCCAGGAGTTTCCCATGCTGCCTCTTATTTCATCACCAGAATGACACTTAAAGACAAGCGTACCTTACGGTCAAGGGTTGGCCAGCAGCAGTGTTTTGGAATGAGCCTGCCTGCCGCACAATAGGATCTTAATAAATGTTGGTTTCTTCCTTCCTCACAAACACACGCCCTCTTTTCTTTACAAAATCGCAATGGCATACACACAGATCTCCCTCCAGCAGCTGCTGATGCTGGGTGGGCATGGAGGGAGGGGCAGGAAAGTGGACTGAGCGAGGCTGCTAGGGTGGGAGACCTCCTGGCATCCGGGTTCTCTCAGTCCTGCGCCTGCGCCCTGGAGCCTGGAAACTGCCCTCCAGAGATAGGGCTCCATCTACAAAAAGCAGGAGGAGGGCCCTCTCAAAGTCAGGGAGAGAGGAGCAGCCAGACTGAGGTAGGAAGGACGGAGAATCCCTGAGAAGGAAAGGCACCCCCCCAGTGAGCAGTTTCAGGAACTTCAGGATACTCTATTGGTGGGATGCAGGAGGGAGGAATCTGGGACCCCCAACAGCCCTCAAATATGTGACTTGGGGGGCTGGGGATGTGGCTCAAGCGGTAGCCCGCTGGTCTGGCATGCGTGCGGCCCGGGTTGGATCCTCCTCCGTACCACATACAAACAAAGATGTTGTGTCCGCTGAGAACTAAGAAATAAAAATATTAAAAAATATATATATATGTGACTTGGAAGCCCTTAGGGCATCTCCAGGCCCTTGCTCTTAAAATCCGATCCCAGGACCAGACGCATCAGCTGACCCTGGAAGCTTGTTGGAAATGCAGAATCTCAGGCCCAGCCCCAGGCCTGCTAAGCCAGAATCTGCCCATTAACAAGGTCTCCGGGATTTGCAAGCACATTACAGTTCGAGAAGCTCTGCTCTCAGATTCCTCCACTTTACAATAAAGGAACCAAGACCCCGAAAAGGAAATCCTCTGCCCAGTTTCCTGCAGAGAGTCAGT